CATTTCATCTGCAGCTGTTAATAAGATCACAGCTCTTCCTGCAGTGATTCTATTTATTCCAGTTATATTCTGTATCTCCACGGCCTATAAAAGCTGTTTATGTCTGGATCTCACCTGGCTGCTTTGAGCATTTTGGTCCCCTGAGGAGGTTAATGGCCGGTTCTAGACAGGGGCCAACGGGGGCCAGTGCCCCTGTAGATCGCGTCCTGGCCCCTGTTATGGCCCCTGCACTGAAGACATAGCAATCAAAGAAATTCTAATGATGATATGTGCTGGAACAGACATCGTTACTGATAGATCCAAAGGACCTATTTCTTTTTCTTTACAAAATTTGTTTTACTAATTATTTAAAAATAATAAGGTGATAACTTCAGTGGTATTGAGACAGGATCCCAGTATTCATCTGCTAAATGTTTTTTTTTTCAAAACTAATAAAAAAAACTTAAATTAAGTCAAAAATGCATAAAATTCCTAAACTATAAATGTAAAATAACCTAATAAGACTTAGAATTTGAATTAAACCTAATTGAATAGAACTTTCACTTCATGAAGCTCTCTTAATATATTTGAATCCCTTGCCTTCATTTTTTTTTTATTATTATTATTATTATTTCATGCTTTTCTGTGCCTCAATGAAAACACTCTGGTCCCCTCGTGGCCCCCTGGTACATCTGCTCTAGAACCGCCACTGGGTGGAGTGGCTCATCTTAAAGCTGAAATGTGACCGTGTGGCACATCAGCGCAATAAAACATCAGCAACACTTCTGAGTTTTTATAAACTTACGGGAAAAGCCTTTTATTTAGCAGATGGTAAGAACTTAGAAAAGTTCAGACCGTTTCAAGGTCCAAACCAAAGTGGTTTAGTTTGAAACATTGCAGAAAAAACTGTTTCAACAATCAAGTTTAAATTTTTATTATCCAAGTTGTGATTTTTCTCAATCGCGTTGCGCGTCTATTAGCTTAATTTAAATAGAAGGACTCCTCTCACACAGGACGCTGTGCTGTCACCTTGCCAGACCTCATTAAGCGATTCGCCCATTTTAGATTAGCGGTATTTCTTGGTAAAGTAACTGATTTATAACATATTTACAGCTGCAATTTTTTAATATGATATTGTATACGGGAATTCGGCATGATTGAAAGGTAATAAAAACACATTTATTCAACGGAAACTCTGGATTTTGATGGTCTTCTAGCTAACATCGGAAGAGCAGTCTACAGGACAGGGCAGCCCTGACAGGGACCTGCAAAAGAGTCTATTTCTGTGAAACTTGACAAATTTAAAAATCTATGAGAGCCGAACGGCCCAATATAACATCACGAACATGTGGGTAACAAAATGCATTGATCTACAGACACCGACAGGACCCACGGATCACGGTGGTGATTAAAAGATGATTTCTCTAATGGAGTTCAACATCGCTGTCTGGTGACGGATGTGAACTTTGTACTGCTAGTTTTGCAACAAACCAAAGCTGCTGTTTACCTTAATCTGCGTCTCTAAAACGGTGCCGTGTCCGGCTACGAGCAGGATGCAGATCATGGATGCAGATCCGGTGGTTCTGGTTCGGCTTTAAATGCAGCTTCTAGCGGATAAAAGAAAACAATCTGCAGGCTTGTTTAAAGCAGTTAAACCGTCACAGAGAAAAATCACTTCCGGATGGACCCTTCAAAGTAAAATAATTTACTGTTCATCAAAAATACACGACTACATAGACATGGTTTTTCATTTACAATTTAATTATAAAGACAGCGTTTTCCTTTAATACTTAAAACCCCTGACCCATTTCTTCTTGACTTTGTAAGGGCATCATTACAATGCAACTACAGCCCTCAACAACAGAGACAAAGTAAAGCCAGACTAGGGTCTGGATGATAAACTTGGTATCAACTGGTCAAAGTTAGAGTGATAAAACACAAATAAAATGACTGAAATGTCTGGAGTCATTATTACGAGAGCAGTTCATATCAATACAACAGAGCTTAGGGCTGAATATTACCAGGTATGACTCAGAGCTTAATGTACTGGAGATTAATGGACAATCATACATGATAAAAGGCATCCAATATTAATAAAAAGATAAAAATCAGTTTCTGCAGGCCCAACAAGTCAAATAATGTACTAGTTGTTGGGTATGTTGCCTAAATGAAGAACTTTTAAAACAATCTGTAGGATTTCAACAAAGGGTGAAAATATTCAAAACAGTTTTCCATTAACGGACTTATTTTGTGCATGCTCAATGAAAAGGTACATGTATAGAAGCATTTCAAGTACTCCTATGGCCCATCTGTAGTCGTCTTCAAACACGGTGCTGGTAACGGACTTCACTGAGGATCTGAGCTCGATGATCCAACAATGCCATGCTGTCGCAAAAGGTTCCTCAGGATCTGATTCTTGGATTTCCAGTCTTCCACCTGTAAACAAAAACATCAAATGATGACACAGAAATAACCTAACAATAGGTTAAAGTAACTACAGGTTAAAGCACAGAGTGATACCATGTATATTAATAAAAAAAAAAACTGTCTTTAATGCTACGTTCAGACCGCACACAGCAGGAGCAGCAATAGTAGCTAGTTTACAGTCAATGGTTGACGCGCATCAAGGCGCAGCAAAAGGTCCCGCAGCGCATAACTTCAGAAGCAGCAGCTGCTGGAGTTGAAAAAATGTAACTTTTCCTGCTGGATGCGCCAATCAGAGAAGCTGATCTGGGAGCTGACAGGGAGACAGACACAATGCTACTGATGCAGAGCGCTATTATCACTCCTTAACCTGCTGCCGTGAAGCAGGATTCTCCTAACCTGACAACAGCCAGATGCATGTCTCGCTCCG